CTCACCTACAGCCCTCACCCCCAGTGTGGAGAAGGCCTGGCTGTTAACCCCAGTGAAAGAAATCCCCCTGTATTTCTGGCTCCACAGCAGTGTCTGCAAACACGTACATTGGGGGGTGTTGGGCAGACTCAGGCCCAAAGAGCACTCCGAAGGCATTGCACAAAGGAGGGTTTGCTTTGCTCTGTGTTCTGTGTGTATTAAAGCTGAGCTGCCACAAACACCACAGCTTGGAATGAAAAACAGGAAGGTGTGCAACATCACTGTTAGGAAAACCCAAATCTTTGTAATATTTTCAATAGTGGGGATGGCAAACAAGGATACAACTTTACATCAGGCTGCCTGTGGAAACACTTCTGGCTGTGCAAAATAGCTGTAACAGGACATGAAGGTCAATGCTGTAATGACACTGGTCTCTGTGCCTTTCTGTTGACATTCCGTTTTTAAAAAAGCAAGTAGGCAAACAACTGGCTTCTATAAAGGGACACACTTAACTGTTCATTACCTGTGTATCTAAGCAGCATATAATCCCCCAAGAAAGCACAGTTAGGTGATGCATGTTAATGTTTGCATGCAGTTGCAAAACACAAGCCGCAACAGATGCCTGAAGGGGAACAGCTTGCTGAAAAGACCATTGCAGATGTAGTTTCTGCACTGCTGCAGAAACACTGGACACCATGTCAGAAATTCTAAGAGAAGGCAGGCAGATGGCCAGAGGCTTACTGACAGGTCAATAAAACATAACTCTTAATTTTCTTCATCAACATTTAAAAATCACTGTTGTTACACAGCTGGGAATGTGGCATTCATGGCTTGCCATGAAGAGCAATGTCATGGAAAAGGACTTTGATGCTTCTGACTCTTGGCCTATAGGTCCACAGATTAACTGGCTGATGGGGTGGATTCTCCCAAAGCAAAGGCTGTCAGGACAGACAGTCTCTGGAGATGAAGTTGCTCTAGCATGGACACATGTGCAGTGAAGAAACACAGACCATGGAGTACCTAATTCTCTATGCATTCTTGGCAGATGTATGTTTTACTGAAGATTTTTCAGAACCTGCCATCTGCTGGATTTGGATATGATGTCTGCAAAGCTGGTATGGAAACACACAAAATGAAACTCTTAACTTCAGGAGAGAAACAGCCAATGCCTTTGTAACTACAACTGCCTCCCACAGAACATTACCTTTTTTATTTTGTGGAATATGTACCCTCTCTATACAAAACTAAGCTAAGGTTAAGTTCTCGCACTCAGAGTTTGATTTTATCCCAGGTCCCTGTTAAAATGCCTCAATACTTGGTTGGAGAAGGGCTTGAGGAACATGCTTTGAGTGGGGAATTAGACCATTGACCTTCAGAGGTCCTTTCCACACTGAATGGTTGTAGAATCAAAGTCATTACATCCATGCATATGCATGAACATGGAGGTATCTTTCTTTGTCAAATACAGTAAGGAAAGATGGATCTGCCAATCAGGAAAACACACAGTGGCATGCAGAAAGAAGAGACAATAGAGTTTCAGTAGAAAGGTTGTTTATTTTGTAGAACGTTTGCTTGTAAATTTATTTTTTTTTAAAAAAAAGAAAGTAATTCAGCCTGCATCCAGACAAGTTGCTGTTAAAACACCCAATCTGGTGATTGGGTTTGCAGCTCCTCACCACTGGAAGGAAGCATTTTTCCTTCTCTCTTCAAATGCAGTGCCATGTAAGTGCCCGAACAAGACACTGATATCTACTGTAGTTAGAAAATCCTCTTGGGCTTCTAACCTAATAGACCTGCCAGTTTATGCTCTGTGTTCTGCCAGAATCATGCTTGTGTTGAACATGCCTTGGAAGCAAATGTATTTTTTGTTTAATTTAATAACTTCCTCTGAATTGTCTTTAGACAATAATGCCTTGGGTCCTGCCCATCAAGAAAGAATCTTCCGCAAGCAGCAGCTGCTACACTGAAAAACAGTCTTGAGAGTATTGGAAAGGAAACAACACCCATGAAAATCCATATTGTTTGTTCTAAAAATAGTCACCAAGTTTGTTTTAAAGTGAATGAGGCCAGATTTCAAGGAGCTAATGCTAGGAACTTACGTAGCTTGAGATACAGCAACTCAGCTCCACTCCCCTGGGAGAAAAGAGAGGGAAAATGCTTGTGTGTTTGAATCTGCATTTTTAGGCTGAACTGTGAAACAAAATCCAACAGGAGTTAAGAATTCACAGTAACCTCCCATTTTCTGTTTCAAGGGTAATGCTCACTTCTCTGACTTGAAATTTCTAATGATACATAAGAAAAAAAAACCCGTTTCTATCTAAAGAAGGAAAAGAGAAACAAAAATCACTCTGCCTCTGCAAGGTCAGAGGTGGCAGCAGCGTATGGAGCACTTGCCTGAGACACCACATTGGCAGGATGTGAACTGTCCAAGTACCTCAATACTCAGTAACTCAGAAACAGCTCCCAGCAGGCTCAGTAAAAGCAGCACCTCTGTTGTGAAGGTGAGTTGTGCACTTATGAAAATTATTCCAGAAGGACATCAAGGACATTAACCTGCTTCTTGCAGAAGGGAGTTTATTCTCAACTGGTTTATCTGAAACCCTCACACTAGCAAGTTCAAGCCCTAGGCCCATTACATATTGTTTGGTCTCCTGCTCAAATTCCCTCATCTCTTATGCCCTTTAGACTGGCTGCTCCTTTAGAAAGGATGCCTCAAATTCATGTTCTTAATTTTCAGCCATGAAGCTCAGTGAAATTATTGACCTCTCCTGAACTTCTGGGATGACAAATAAAGTACTACTGGACAAACAAGGAAAATAATTTTGAGACAAATGGATAAATCATTTCCCCACATCGAAACATTTATTAACTGTGTATAGTTAGTTGGGTTTTTTTCTAAGGTTTCTTTATTTTCCCTCCTCCTTTTTCCATTTCCTTTCCCAATTCTTGTACCTCACTGTGAGATTTTATTCGCAAGAATGAACAGGAATGAGCCCTCATGAAAAGAATAGGGCACTGTCCTAGGTTTATATAGCACAAAGATATAAAAGAGTGAAGAGAAAGCACACTGCACCAAAACATTCACAGCTGAAGATGCAGGAACAAGTTGTACACAGGCACTTAGTGGAATAAATATATGACAACACTCAAATCCTGGCATCCTAACCCACCTGCAGTAAAGCCTGAGAAGAGGTTTGCTCACCTGCCACTGTGTTACTGCCCTGGTATCTCTGGGGGTTTCAGTAGCTGGGAACAAAACATGGGCTTGCCTATGCCATTTTTCCAGTGTACCCTGCCAGGAGTGGTGATCTGTCTCTGGAATGACATGTAATCCACAACCAGTTTTTACTCACATCTGATTTCCAAAGCTGTTCTAAGTATCCCAGATGATTACTAGGCCAGCAAAGCACTGTTGTGATGCCATTTCCCAGCTAACTTGCACCACGTGTTTGTGTTACATGTTATGTAATTGATACCCATTGAGCACTGACAGCTGGAGGTTTGCCATTGTCTTTGCTTTCACCTCTCAGAAGTTTTATGTCTTTTGCAGTTATAACCAGACTTGTTAAGATCTTAAGGCATCAGTCACCTGGGGGACCCCTGGGGAGAGAAAATTCACAGCAGAGCTTTTCTGTCACCAAAATAAAAAATCCAAATTCCACTAACTAAACTTAACAAAAAATATTGTACTTGGTTCATTCCGGAGCTAGGAATATGGTTTTTAAAATACCTCAACCAAACTCCACATATAAGTTACTTTGATTCAAAGCCAAGGTGGGCTTTTCATCAAATATACAATTTTTCCCCTGTTTTCATTCTTCATGAGATCTTTAGTCATCTACATGGTTTTATTTTTAACTGTGCCCACAGCCCCGGTACAAAGTACCTATTCCAAATGCCTAACAACCAGGGCACACAAAGTTAATGGGTCACTATCAGAGTGGCCCCTTGATGTGCTGTGCTTTTGTTGCTTCCTTTCGTGGACAGCTAACTTTGTTTCCTACAGGTGTTTTGCTTTCTGCCAGAAGTAGTGAATTAACCACTTAGGCTGAGCTGTGAAGTACAGCCCTAAAATGAACAAGGATCCTGCACAGTAGTGCCACTTGATTTAATCCTTCCTTTTCATCTGTAATGATAGGAAGTCAAGGTAAATTCATGCTAAATGCCTAAGTTCAATCAGCAACTGATATGTCTTTTAATGACCTGGATCCACTACAACTTGTGCTGATACCAGCTAGCCCAGGAATCACCCTGTGTTGTGTGTGATGTCTGTAATGTATCAATGAAAATGTGCATGTCTGACCTGGCATTGAAACACCAATGGCTGTGATTCTCTGTTCCTATTCCTACCCTCAGAGGTGACATTGAATGAAGCAGCAAAGGTTTTATTTTTAAGAGCCTCTGGTCCACATGAAAGGAATGGAAAAGGTGGAGGCACAGATAGGATCTGCAGGGGAGACAGTAACTAATAGAAGTTTCATAAAATTTGAAGAATCTAGGCAGAATTTGTGGGAAAGTCCATGCAAACCACTGCTGCTTTTGAAGGGTCTGCTCAAAATCACAGCTTTGAAACAGAGGTCTAGGATCAGACCTTACTATGGATGGGGAAATAAAGCCTTTCCCCCCTCATGATCTTAGATTTGAAACATTCACTTTGTCCAACATTTCTGTTGCCCTAAGGCAAGAATTTTTGTATCCAATGTACCAGATAGCTCTGTATGTTGGTGTGAGAGGTTTTCTTTTGAGAACAGTTAAGAATAATGGGCAACCAACACTTAGAGCTGGAATCCTCCTCTCCCAGGTGCTGCACAGTGATTAGTTCCAAGTATATATTAAATAGAATCTCTTGTATTAAGCTGATTTTTTAAGAAACCTTGGGGATTTTTTTTAACAGAGTTATTCTTCATTCACCTGGAGGCATAGGATGCCTAGTGCAAGCAGCACAACATCCAAGTTTGCACCCTGTCCCTCTGCCCAGGGGCAAGTTCCCTGGGCTTTGTGTCTGGAAAGGCATGAGCAGCTCACAGTAGTTTTGGGCTGGTGTTCAGCCGAAGGCTGGAATACATTCCCACATGCTGGACCAGGTTGGGTTCCACCACATAGGCATTCTCCCCCTTGGCCCGCAGCAGCGAGTAGAGGGCAGTATCCTTAGCATAGCCCTGGCGGCACTGCAGCCCCCTCAGGTATCCTAAGGCACGTCGGGCAGAGGGAGCAGAGAAGAGCATGGCAGGTGTGCAGCACTCGGTGACTGGCACGATGTTGTATAGTGCGGGGGCTGTCCGGCGCAGCTCCAGCAGGTAGTGCCTTCCCACCAGCTCCGACAGAGCCATGCTGTACAGGGCAAAGAACAGAACCAGGGACCAGCTGAAGCTGGAGCGCCCTGAGTACACACAGTTCAGCACAGGCCCCAGAAACATGCCCAGACCAAGCCACTCGAGGATTCTCATGGGTTCAGGGTTGAAGTAGCGCTGGAGCCGCTCAGGATGGTAAAGCTTAAAGTAAAGAGCGTCTCTGAGGTATGGTTTGGAGAACCGGGCCAAAAAGAAGTGCTGCAAGACAGAGAATATCTCCTTCTCTGGCACAGCATCGTCCTCCACTACGAGGATGTACTCTGGGTTGTATGCTGACAGCGACTGCTCAAGGCAGAAGACATAGTCCTGCTTCTCCTTCTCAAACTGGTTCACTCTGGGGTCAGGGTTCTCTTCAGTTTTGTCACGACTGACCATAGGAAAGAAGCTGCTCAGCAGCCTGACATCCTGATGGCTACTGGGGTCTGACTCCACATTACAGATGAGCATGCGGTGGCTCTTGCAGTGTGCACCACATTTCTGGAGGAGCCGGTGGAATTGGGAGGCCACTTGCAAGACGTAGTGGAAATCATTCCGCCTCTGCACAGTGATAATGGTGATCAGCAGCAAGGGTTGGAAGGCGTCACTGCCAGAGGTCTCGGAGGCATTTGGTATCTGCAGCTTCTCAAAGTAATGGAGGGCATCCTGGCCCTCCTGCTGGTTCTGCTCCAGGAACTCCTGGCTCATGGGGTTCAGGTGCCAGCGCCGCAAATAGAAGTAAGAGTGGAGGAGCCGGTGGCAAATCAGAGGTGCGAGAACACCAAATGTCACCACAGTCAGTGTGAAGAGATGGATAAAGGGACTGGACCAACGGCACCATCTCCCATAGAGCTGCCAAGCTTGGTGTAACATGACTGGTGCAAAAGGGCACTCCTGCACTATTCATGCCTTCAGTCCTTCATTTCCAATGCATCCTCCTTCCTGGACTGTGAAGTATCACTGGAGCAGTGGATGCCAAATGTGTGCAAGTTGTCTAGGCCTAGAAAGAAATAAAAGAGATAGTTACTGAAATAGGAACTGACAGAGAAAATGGAAAGCAGGGGCTAGTCACTGAGTAAGTCAATATACAACGGCCCCTCAGGAGTTCATTGTGGTGAGGGCATCACAGAATAGTCCTGGGAGGCATGAGCGAAAATCAGTTTCCAGCAAAGTGCCCCAAGACCTTTTCAACACACAGGAGCTCTATCTAACTTAGCTTGATAGGCTTTGTTGTGTTTGTTACTGTGCCTCAAACACTTAACAACAAGCAACATGGATGCAGGATGTGTGGAAATCCCTTGCTGTCAAAGGCAGAGAACCATTGTCTGGTCACAGTGACACAGGAAGATTTTGGCCACAGCCAACAACCAAGGCCAGATCTTTTGTATCTTAGCCTAGCACATATTTGAGAGACAAACTCTTCCCTCTTTGGAATGACACGTTTCCCTTCTGTTGTTCACACGGTTCCAAATGTATGCTTTTTCACTTTACTCCCCAGAGTGTGAAGCAAGATAACAAAGACACCAATTTACTTCACTAAGAGCCTGTGTCTGTTAAGTGTAACATGTGTGTGTCTATCTCTCTCTCAGATGTCTTTTCCTTGCATAGACCCCAATGAAATATATGGGCACAGCAAGATTAACATGTTGTAATTGAGTCATTGACTCATATCTCTTGTGTGTAATTCAAAAGTATATGCCTTTAATTTAAAACTGAAACATTCGTATAAATAATTAACAATTTTTGTACACACACACACTTCAAGCAAACAATCCCCTTTACAAAAGTTAGATTTTGCCATATTTGGCTTTTCTGTTCTCCTTCTCTGGCTGCTGTGAACAACTCGCCGCCTGGCTGTCAGCAGCTTACACAAAATCAGGGTAATTAGGCTGTTCAGATGAATCCTCCTGTGCCAGAAAATCTCCACTTCTAATCTGCTGTTTCACTCTCCCTTTTACTTCCTATTCCCTCTCCTTATGAAATGAGTTATTCCTGCCCTGCCAACCAGCTAACTAACCATGCTTGGGATGTTCAGGGGAGTCTCCGAGTTTTAACTTTCTGCCTTCGGTAAGTTCTGATCATCAGATGGTGCTCCCAGACCAAAATGTTACTTTTTGCTTTGTCCCTCTGTGCAATGTCATCTGAAGCAGCCCAAACAATGTTCCATGGATGTAAAGAAATCATGGCTTTTCTCCTCTGTCTCAGAAAAATGGACCTTGTAGAAGCAATGACTTGGAGAACATGGAACAGAGTCTGACTCTAGGCATACTTCAAAACTGCCTTCATTGCAGTAGCCACAGATTTGCTGGTTTTACCATGAAAAGAACCCTTTCCTACTGCCATATGACAATGTGACAACCTTCTATGAAACGCCTTTTAACAAGATTAATGGAAAACATGCAAGAGTTATTCTAAATATTTGTTAGAGAACAGACACTTCACGCTGTAAGATCTCAAACCATCCTCAGACAGACTCTGGCAGAGTCTTAGATAGACTGTGGCATCAGTGTTATGCTCTCTTATGATTCAAGAAAATATTGAAAGTAATTAAATAGAGATAAAGTTACATACTGATGCATGAGAATCTGCAGTGTCTTCCCATATAGCTTTTTTTCTTCCTTTCTGGTTACACAATCCTGTTTCACAGGCACTGCACTGTATTGCATCACTGGACTTTGTAAAGGCTTTACAGGTGATGACTGCACTTCATCTGCTAGATCCAAGTCATGAGGATTCAGGAAGACCTCAAGCCCATCATGTGCAATGACCTGGCATTGAAATGCACTTATTCATCCAAAATCCTGGGCTTTCTGGTTAACCTGTTACAAGCATAAAGGGAACCCAGAAGTGCAAAATCATATTCTACAACTCACACTGGCTTACTGTTGAGCCTCCTCTTGTGGAGCACTGTTCTGAGCCAGCCTCCAAACCTGAAAGTGAGGACCACAGTCCTCAGGAGATGGGAGATGATGAAAAGCTAGAAGGTAGTTTAGTTCTTGGGGAGTAAAGACTTATTTTCCATCTGCCAGTTATGCTGAAGATCTGAGCTACAGAAACTATGAGCCAGCAGTGAGCTCTTAGGATATACATTGAAGCATTAATAATTCTTTGAGCATTTCTTCATTACTAATTCTTTGAGCAACCTTGTTGAGCAAATGGAATTCCTATCTGTGGCAGGGGGTTGGAACTAGGTGGCCTTTAAGGTCCCTTGCAGCCCGAACCGTTATATGATTCTACAATAATGCTCACACAAGGAGGAGGCCTCCTTCCCTCATACCATCTTCCACTGAAGAGGGAAGAATGGGTGTTCTGTCTTCCCCGGCAGCCTGTGGAGCTGTGGGGAGCTGTGGCCTCATGAGATGAATCAAACAGATTCTCACCTGAGGTCTTGCTTTTCTGCAGCCCGTGCTGTTCAAGGGTCAGACTCACCTAAAGGTCCCTACAGGTGGACTCACATTGAGGCTGAAGCCTGCCAGTCCCTTCTCCACCGGCTCTTCCAGCTGGGAAAGTGGTGCTGGGACTCCACCTGCTGGTGTCCCAGCTCTTGGCTCAGGACAGTAACAGTGTGGTGGTCCAGGTGAGCACTACACTCTCTGCAGTTATGTCCTTGCTTCACACAAGGAGTAGCTGTCCCTGGAAAAGCAGGCAGGACTGGAAGCTATCCATGTCACAATGTCATAGTCACAGGCGTTTCTAACTTAACCCTGGTTTCACCTCATCAGTATTAGAACTCAAGACCTTGGAGCTCTTATTCTGGTTTTGCAACTCAGAATGCCTCAAGGTTAACAACAATCAAACACGCACTTTTGCTACAGATCTTCCTCTGCTCCCTGGGCTGTTAGCATTCACAGTGAGTGCCCTTTGTCAGTGTATCTGCAGAGGAAAAGGCTGTTTTCACTGGTCAATGAAATAGCCACAGAGGCTAAAAACAGTGAGGAGCATATTAAAGCAGGTCAAATACTGCAGTTCATGCAAAAATCAAACTGAAGGATCTAAAACAGGGAAGACACTGACTTTCTTCCCACCTTTTGTCTGTAACACTGGGAACCTGAGAGTTCCAAATACAGATTAAAAATTTCTTGCTTCTCCAGAGGTTAAGTTTTATCTTATCTGCAAGAAAGAATCCAGACTTTCTGCTCAGGCTGTCTTCTAGCCATTAGGACACTTCTGACTTCACAGAAACCACTCTGTTTTCAGAAGCTGTTGGTTCTGTCATTTTCATTTTTTTCCCCTTCTAAGGGGGAGAAAAAAATCTTGTTTGTTCTTCTTTAAGTAAGTGGCATTTCAGGCAGAAAAAAAATGAAGTTTGAAGAGAAAAGCAAGAATCCAAACTGGATTTTATAGAGATTTAAAAACCCCACTATATTAAAACCTGAGTAGTAACTACTTTGCAGTACAAGTAGTTAACCATATAAACACTTGCAGTGGAGTCCTGCTCTATATGTGTACGACCGAGCCACTGCTTAAACACATCTAGAAGCTGTGGTGATAGGTTTAGCTTGTTTCTTTTCTTAGATCCTCATGATGAAGATTCCTTCTAGAAATACCTGATTCCAAATCTATATTCATATCTTCATTAGTCCCCTAATTACTTGGCTAAATTACACTGTTTGCTAAGGAAGAAAAATGACTAATGCTCTCTTTGGGGTGTCGAACACTGTAGGCTGTGCTCCTGCTTTAAAAGAGAAAGCTGATTTTCTGTCTGCTTCAAACTCCTCTCCACAGAGGTATTCCTGCAGCCAGGTATTCCTGGAGCAAAGTTTCCTATATGTTTCAAAGCTGCACAATTTTCAGTTCCTGGATAGCTAATCTAAGAGGGCATCTGCCTTTCTACTTCCTGCTCTGTGAGACAAGGACACAACTATTCCTTTACGATTACAATATTAAATTATTCCTTTTTGCCTATCTACACTTCTTGTTAATGTCAATGGGAAAAGCCATTCTTTTCCTAACATAAAAAACACCTGAAGTTATGTGGTCAGAAGCCATAGCATTGTCTCTGTGGGAAACAAAAGCAGGCTCTTGGAAGATGTCATGGAAAGCCACACTGTTACAGTCCCCACCTGAGCTGTAACAGTGGCAGTAGTAATGGTGTTCACCCAAGTTGTAGTTATCCTTTGTGTGTTGATCCTATAGCAGCATCCCAAGTTGAAATCTTTGTGCTAAAACCACTTCTATGCCCCAGTCTAACATCATGTGGACAAGCTGCAAGCTCAGGACTGACCTCCTCTATGTGTAACTCTCTCTGGCAGAGACAAGGCTTTTGTCTTGCTGAGAGGAACAGTCCTGCTTAAATCTGAGGGAACTGATGCAAACATCACAAAGAGCCATACAGATCTCCTCCTGTTTCATGTATGCATGCTGACAGCTGAATGTGGTGTATGGATATCCTCAAATTCTGAAACCTGAGGTCCCCACCACCAACTGATCCCTATTACTGGGCTAGATGGCAGCTTTTCTCATCTGCAATTCCTCTTGTTTTCTGTCAGCTTTTAGTAGGTCAGGTGCCAGATAATATTTCTGCAATGTGTCAGGCCTGCCTTGACAACTGCAGTGTCCAGTAGAAGCCAAGCATCTATAGATCTGACCATTACACTTAGATGCCAAACTGCAAGTTAGGTGCCCTAGAAAATTCAAACCATTCCAGCAAGAGCTGTGCTTCTAAAAACATTGAGCAAAACCTTAATGGCAAGAGATCAGTAGTTCTTCTTTGATTGTATTTTACTGGCAGGTACCAAATATATCTCTTACCTCTGCAAGCACTGCTAAAAGCAGTTGTCATTATGTTGTTTCTAGATTATGAACAACAAAGAAGCATGCACAGATCAGAGCTGCTGCACTTAAATCTCTCAGTTCTCTTAGAATTTTTGTTT